CGGCGTCCGCCTGGAGCCCGACATGTGTGAGTGCGAATCATAGGGGATGCATATCGGATGAATGTCTCCAAATTTCGGCTGCCAAAAGTGCCAAAGTGCTTGCTGGTTTATTCAACGCTCACTTTAAAGCCTTTAATGTGAGTAGTTCGCTGGCCAGCCCTGAGGAATTATTCAGTCAATGGTCCAAAACAAAACCGAGTCCTCTGACCCAATCTGACCAAAAACCGCGTGGTTCAGGGCCTGTTCCAGCTGCCGAAAAAGCCGCAAATCTGCAATGTGTCCGTGTCCGTGTCCGTGTGACTGTCCGTTTGACCATCTGTCCGGCTGTGCGACTGTGCGTCTGAAGGGGGGGTTTAATGGGTGGCTGGTGTCGGTTGCCGTCAGCGTTGCTGCTGCCTTCTGCGTTTGCAGCGGTGCAATTTATGCAAATTGCTTTCAATTTGCTTAGTCCATTGCTTTGTGCGCCAAATTGGGCCTGTACATGCCGATTGTCGGCTAAAAATGGCATATCAACGGGTGCGCAGGGGTGGAGCAGCATTCAAAGGTGCGGCACGGTTGGTGCCACATTTTGTTATCACTTGGAAGCGTTAAATTGGGCGAGCAATCCATATTCCGCACTTCCACCTCGGGACCACATTATGATTCGGTGAGAGTTTAAATGCGAATTTCTGTCGACGTGAATTAACTTCTAATCAGCACCGGGGGGCGGGGCAGGAGTGTGGCGAATGTCAGCTGCAATCAGAAATATCCTTACCTCTTTTTTATCATCTCTCTGAACGATTCTGTTGGCACAAGTAAATCAATTACTAGGCTCTGCCTTGAGGAAATTTGATTTCTTTTGGGCATTTCTTATTTTCTTCTTCGCAATTTTTGGCAGGACACCGGCATTTCCTTGCACTCCATGAACCGCCCATGAGAATGTCAACTGCACTAGAAAATGCCTACAATGGATCTCTTGCAGCCCGGAGAGCGGAGATGTGCACACATTTGTTACAGCTCGAATTTCCGGCACAGCAGGCACGCCCACCAAAATTCAACACTCGGACAGAATTTTAACATATTCTGCCGTCACACCTGGCAACCTGGCAGCCCGGCAAGCTGCTTTAATAAAGCCTTCAGCAGCAGACGAGTTGCAAGACAACAAAGCCAGCATCAGAAACGGGAGGAACAGGACATGGTAGGTGCACTCGTAACAACTCCTGGCCTTCACTTCACACTGCTGTACTGCTTGTACAGTGATTACAGCATTGCCCGTCAGCCAGGCACACAGTTACATCAAAAAGAGTGAACAAATTTTCGCTGGAGGACACTCACTGCTGCTGGTTCAGAAGGGTACATTTTAAATGCAGATAATTAAGGTATGCCAGCAAAAAAAGACAGAACAGAGGTAGAAAAAGTCTCACCTAAAATATAAAATACTTAAAATAGAGCCACAGAACTTGCTCAACTCTTCGAACTTCGATGTGTTTTATTTCAAAATTAATATTCAGCTTTTTAGCTCGGACACAAAAATATCCAATGGCATAACTTTTAAGCAAAGTTTATGGCTTCAGGCAACTTTTTTCAATGTATATTTAACTAGCTGGTTGACACTTTTTAGTCAATATTAAAGTTAAAAGTTCTAAACTTAAATTATTCGTGAGGCATAAAAAAAAAAGCTTCAGCCGTTTAAGCTGTGAACACTGATTGCAGAGATGTCTCGTCCTTTATGGTATCCGTTCGTAGCTCCATTTTCCTGTCATATTAAAAAAAAACCCTCGCCCCTCATATCGTAGCCAACTCGAACTCAGAGAGTCGGCATCAGCGCCACTTCTCCATCCACGACTTTGTCTATTATTAATAAAAGCAACTCTGGCAGTACATGGACAAGGACCCGGCATGTGAATGCAATTGTATTTGTAACTCCGTTCTCGCTCCTCTCTCCAACAGCGCCATTCAATTCTCGCACTCGTTCATAATTTATTGTTGCAGATACCCGGACCGGACCCTGAACAGAGCTCCAAGCCGACTGACTCCGGCTACTCCGACTACTCCTGGTCATGCTGGTAGCGCATATGTTCCGCCTGTTAACTTCCCCCTTTTTTTTCCAGAAAATGTTCTATTGAAATATTTGCAAATTACTGGAGTGTTGTCCTGACAACGACGTTGATGTCCTGCTCAGACAATGGACAATTTGCGCCACAGAATCAGGTATTTAAAATGTGCAAGGAAAGTCGCACTAGCTGGACAGATTTAAATATACATACATACACATACTATAGATACAAACATATACGAGAGTATATGCGATGTATGGCAGGCAGGCAGCAGGAGATGGAGCTGTAACTATACATGGAGCTGGAGCTGGAGCTGGGGCTGTGGCTGAGGCTAGAGCATGCTGCCGAAGCTGTCCATGGCCATAATTTATGGCATAGAGCTACGTTATTTCGAGGAATTGGACATAGAAACATGCAGGAGGAGACTTACACGTATCCTTTGTCCGGGCCGGGCCATTCATTAAACAAAATAAAGTTAGCTTCTAGTAATTGTCAACGACAGTTTGATGTTTTTCTGAAATATTACAAGTAAATTGTTTTGCTGTTGCTCCGAAGGTTCCTTCAGCACTCAGCCCACCCTTCAGATGCTCCGCCAGCCAGGGCCATGCAGATTTTCTATTACAAAATATATTCAGTGCTGGATCTTTATTGACAGTGTTGCAATTTGCTAAATTCGATTACCTCATGCATATGAAATGGCTGCTGTCCGGCCACTGCCACTGGCCCTGGCCCTGGCCTGCCTCCTCCGTTGATGTATGACCCAGGCTGGTGCCCGCTTCTCCAATGATTAATGATTCGCTCTCTGATTGTTGCCTGAGCAACAGTATTATGCTAAAAGTCTGGCTCCGGCTCCAGCTCCAGCTGTGGCTCTGGCTTGGCTCTGCCTGGAGGCGAGGGAACAATCCCCAATTAAGAATGCCGCAAGGTCAGAAACCAGAGCAAACTCAATTAATATAAGCGACGGCAAACAATCAACAAAACCACGACATTGCCGCCCTCCGCCTCCATTCTTTTCATCTGCTGCCGCATTTCAATGACCATAAAATGCCGCTTTAAAGCCGGCTCCTGGCATTCCCAGTGTCCTTGGTCAGGCCGCTGTTTGTGGGAGCTATTGTGCAGAGATAGGTAGAGAGCATGGCCGGGGAGTGGGGAGTGCTGAGGTCGCCATTTCACTAATTAAGCAAATATTTGCTGGCTGCTTTCCCCAGTCCCGTACCAGTGGCAAGTTATCTGGAAATTTGCACGACCGATGCTTGGAAACCATTCACCGACTTCTAGCGGGACAGAAACAGAGTGCCATAATAAAGACTAAGAATAATTCCATGTCAACACACTCATAAATAATGGACTGGCTAGCGATGGACCCTCCAGCCCCAAGCCTCAAGCCACAACCCTCCACTCCCAGCCCACAGCCGACATCCACCGCCACTGCCATCATCATCATCATCAGCATCGTCAGATCCAAGTGGCCAGGTACAGAGTACAGACAAAGGCAGAAGCAACCGAAGTATTTATCATAAGCAGAGGATTGTCACAGTCTATGGAGCACTACAAATACCCTATGCTCCGGCACTCTGCTCAGTGCCGAAGGGAAGTTCCATTCTGTGAATATCCCTTCCAGTTATAGCTAAAGAAGATTCAACTTTGTTGCTGCAGGTCTGAGTTCATTGTTCTACTCCATGTACATCTGATAGTGAACCACTGTCGAGGGCATCAGAAATTTGCGAAAGCATTTTTATAGACGACAAATTTATCAGTGCCACAAAATGAGTTTCACTGACAAAGTTTTACCCACTGCCCTCCCTAGACCCTAGTCCAGACCGCCTTCCACCCACCTCCACCTGGCAACGATTTGTCATCTTTTAAATACAACAAAAATAGCAACTTTAGTGACTGCAGAGCAGGACGGGGACAAAGGACAAGGCAATAATGCGTCACAGCATAAATTTTATTTATTTTATAAGCGCCCAAAGCCCCGCCAAAGAGGTGGCCAGACTTGCAAGAGCTGCCGTACTGGAAGCTGGCGACAAGCAGCCACTCCGCCCCGTCTGCCCAGCTCTTTGGCTCTGCTCTACGTCTGATGGCGATGGCTGGGCAACTTTGTTGGTCTAATACCTGGGATGCTTGGCCAACACTTTGTTGCCGTGGTGCGGTGTATTCAAAATAGGTTTTTAGTAGACCTCCGCCCTGACAATGCAGCAGCCCAGTGTCATGGAAGCGCTACGCCCTGCCACGCCCCCAGTTATGAATGGGCAGCGTGCCCGCCCTGCCCTGCCCTGCAAATGCTGACGGACCACCCTCCCTCAGCCAAACCCACTGCTGTGTGGCTGATATGAGCAGTGACACTGCCACTTCATGTCAGGCTTTGAGCGTAATTTTTCTCGGGAATATAACTTGAGGAGCTGGCCAGGAGAAGAAGTATCACTAAGCGAGCTTCTTACGCTCTGCACCAGTGACAAAGAGTGGTGCGAAGGGAAGGGGAAGTGCCACTGATGCCATGGCAACAACGCGCTTGTAAAGTTGAAAGATTTGCATAAGTAATTTGACAAAATGTAGTTGACAGTAAAAAGCAGCGAGCCACACACACACACACACACACATGAGAGGAGGAAAGCTCCTCTCTAAGATGGTGGAATGAAGGAAGTGCTGACAGTGGGCCAAAACGGGGTGGGCAAACTGCATCCGAACTTGATGGAGCCATTTTTCTTACTTATACGCATGAACCCGAGCCCGGACCACATGAGTGCAGAAACTGTATCATTAGCTCCATTGTGAGAAAAATGTGAGAAGAAAATTACAAAAAATGGGAAATAAAATACGAGAAGATCTCCTTTAAACAAAAGCGTAACCCGAATGGTTCAAATGGTATAAACTTGAAGTAAGAAAATTTGAAATGAAAACAACATTCTCTAGTTCGAAATTTGTTCAATTTGTATGCCGATTCTGCACAGACAAACTACTCACCTGCATGGTGCCAGTCGTAATAAGTCTTGTTAGTCATACTATCACCATAAAGTTCCACAAACAATGTCAACAATCAAATCAGCCGTGTCAATGTGCTGTAAATAGAGAACAGCCGTAACGAAGTGTGAAATACTCTATTTGAATGGCAACGATTTTTACAGGGCATATTTGTTTTTTTATAAAAAAAAAATTAATTAAACAATGATAAAGATTTATTAAATATTATTCTGCCGTTTCTTCTGTCGTCTGTAAATTAATGAATATTTTCGAATCCTGCGGTACAATAAGTTAATTTTTGATAGGTAAATTGAACAGTGAGATTTTTATTAGTCATCTTACAATGTATATTTATCTATATTTAATATAAATCAAAAATACAAACTGTATGTAGCATTTAATGGTTTGTTTAAAAAACCATAATGCCCTTTGCAAGGGTATGGAAAAAGAGGAAAATACAAATCATAAAGCGCACATCAATTTGGCGTAACGGGGAGCCTGATATGCGGGCATAAATTTTATGCACTCTGACACCACAAAAAAAAAAAGGCGGTAATGATAATGCCGTGTCGCGTCATAAAAAAAGAGATATATACGTGTACTCCTGCCACTTCTTGGGGCGACAGAGGTACGGTACGCAACAATAATAATAAAATCGACAACAGCAAAAAAGAAGGTAAAAAAATGTATCTAAACAAATGCGACAAGCCGCAAAAGCTCTCATAAAAATGTATCTATGCATTCGGTGGCGATTGGCAGCGTAGATTGTTGCCAAGCTTTTCTTTACAATCGCATCGGACCACCCAACCCCCCCGATGGGAGCTGCCACTAGTTTCCGGAGGACGCCGCTTATGGCAATGGGTGGGTGGGGTGGCTATGGCGGCCAGCCTGCTGCAACGGGTGAGCGGCTGCCTGCCTTGAGTGAGCGGCCCATTCGTTGGCAATACTCGGCTCACGCGACACGTGCGAGGTGCGTGCAAAGTTTCCTATTGTATTGTATTGTGTGTTGTGAAAAAAGTTTCAAACATTTTCAGCATAAAACACAGAAAATAGAATACAATATAAAGAGATATACCAGGAGACACCGACAACGACAACGACACCGTCACCGACACCGACACCTCCCGTACCACATCGTCAGCAGCTGTCAGAAAGTAAGGTAAAAAGTAAGCCAAGAAATAATCGACATGTCTGTTAATTATTGTGAAAGTTTTCCGACACACGCTGCTGTCATTCCTTCGGCTCCAGCATCAGCTTCTGCTCCCTATTCTCCCTTTTCTCCTTTTGCTGCGTTGGCTGTTCCGTTTGTTTGGCAGGAGAAGCGACAGCTGGCGGTGTCAGTGACAGGAGGTAGCCGATACTTTGCTTGTTAGCGAAATAAGAGGGATGTCATCGTTTCTATCTGCAAATGTATCTGTATCTGTATCTGAGGCAGGATCTGTTTCTCCCAGAGCTGGCCTAGTTGCGAATGTGTTCCATGTCATAAAGACACGCACAAATCATGCTTAAACTCCGGCTTGTTCCCGTTCCTGGACGAGCTCTTGTCTCTGGCCCTGGCTCTGGCTCTGACTCTGACTCTGGTTCATGTCCTTGGTGTCCTTGGTGTCCTGCTCGCGTTGCCTTTTGCTTAACTCGCAATTTATGGTTAATCGATGTTGTCTTTGAACGTGACCTATTTGCTTTATTTGGTCGCACTGCCTTCTTTTGTTTCCCTGTGTACCGAGTGCTGTGCTAGGTCCCGGCTCGCTGGTTGTCCCTGTCCCTTGTCCGTGGTCCGTGGTCCCTGGTCCTGTGTCGCCATTATCCCTGCCTCGACTCGGCTGCGACACTCGCACTCAGCATCCTGCTGACGTGTTAAATTGTCTTTTTGTTTACCCTTACCCTCAATAAAGCCATAATTTATTTTTCATGTTCTATCGCACTTCGTTATGCCTTTAGCTCTCCTCCTTGTTCCTCTTCTCTCCATCTCCTCTCTCTCTCTCTATCTCTCTCTCTCTTTCTTTCTGTCTCTGCTGGTCTCCCCCTTCGTTAGCTGGCATTCACTTTTCACTTACGTGGCTTTGGCGTATGTGCTATATAATACGGAGATTTTCCACTCCGGCGAAATCGATACACCGACGCCTCGGCAACGACCTTGACACCCGGCAAGGATGCTGCAGTTTCCTACGAGTGTGCTGCAGCCGCTGCAGTTGTTGCCGGCAACATTTGTTGCCCCGAAAAGCTTTTCCATTTCTCAGTCACTGAAAGTGACGCCAACTGTGACCGAAAGCGTGACTACTGCATGGCGTGTCCAATGATTGAGGCGTACGTCCAACTAAGGACACTAAAGTCCCACCTGGGGGTTGCTAATTAGAGCAATGTTCATTACTCAGACCCCATTAGTCAGCAGTGACTATCTAACGGGGTCATCAGCACTGGGACAGAGACTCGCCGAGACTCTCCCGGTATATATAGTACATACAAATATATGGACATAGAATAGGTTGAGTGAAAACTTTGGGGTTGTTTATGCACTCGGGCATATCAGTTATTCGATTCACATCAATCGATGTGATGTATTTCCATGGCCCTGAAAGCCCTGTCCTGTCTCCCAACCGGCCTGAGGGCCCGATGACTATGCTAAACTATATCCAGGCTGTCTTTTGGAGTAACCAGTAACCGAATCAATGATATTGATTTGACAGACAAACATTGCCACCCTTCCACTCAACTCGCAACTTTATTGACAACTCAGGGCTGCTTACTGCATTGTTGGCGGACTCTTTCAGTCAATAAATCAAACAAATTAGAGAAATAAGTGCCAGGAACCTAGCTTTGTATATTTTTTATTGCTTGAGTTTCCCATCGCATTGAGGGGCTAATTCGATGTACGATTATTTATGCATACATAAGTCAACGAACGTCTGCCAGCAGACAAAAGCTCAGCGTTCCACATTGATGGGACTATTATTGATATGATGTCATGCGTGAAATATTGAGGTGAGTGCACTCGCTTACACCGCAGCCCCCCACGAACATTGAGTGCTAATCCAACTAGTCGGACTTCAAGTCGTCACAGTTCATTAAGCCAAGTGCCAGCTGGTCAGAGTTCAAGCCCACACCCACCCCTTACAATATGTGGAAAGAGGTGCGCATTCAGGTATCTCTTTGGAGGGTGTGACAGGGCGGTTGACAGGATATAATTCAGATGGCATTTGCGCCTAGTAGGTCTGAAAATTCCTGCGTAGGTAGTTGGAAATTTGCTTTTATTAATATGGTTAAATTGCGGAATGAGGGCAAGCCTTCTGCTGCAATCAAGCGTGAATTTATGGGGAATGTTCGTGCTCTTGGATGGCAGACAACGCGCGAGACATATTTGGATAGATTCATTTAAAATGCAAATACGAGTAGACGAGGCAAATTACAAAGCGGCTTTACCATTAGCTGAGGCCTTACCTTCCGACTCTTGGCATAATTAAAAGCCGCCTCACTTTGTGAGGCAAAAGCAAATCAATTCCGGACTGTAATAGCTCGGGGCCATTGCTGTCATGGGCGGTGAGCCCAGCAACGCCCATCGGATTGCCACGAATACTTGTTAAGCCGACAGTTATTGTACCAGCTTGGCACAAAAATTATACAAGTATATCAAACAAATTCACACATCGCCGGGGGCCCTTTGACAGCTCCTAATTCCAGCTCAGACACAACAAAGAGATATAAAAGTTAATTAAATCCACAACAAAATTAAACGAAAATTTCGAGTAGAAGGAGGCAATTTTCTGAAGCTATTCGGATCAAGTTGCTGTTGACTCTCCCTTTCCCATATATTTCATTTCGATTCGTTTTGTTAGTCAGTCAGTCAGAGAGACGTTTTCGCAAAGCTACAATAATATTTATATATAAATTCAAATAAAATTCGTCAGTAAACAGCGCTAAGATAATAAATATTTGAAGCCTTTCAATTGCTATTAATTTTTTTCATTTGAAACTTAAATTTTTTATTAAACAGCAATGGAGAGTATAGCAAAGGTATACCCTACATTTGGTGTTCCCACATGATGGTTACATCAGCAATGAATATTCTCAAATCCGTCATTTGCTATACTTTATTCTGCAGATGCAACGCGAGAATGGATACACGAAGGAGGCCACCCTGCAGAACTTGGCCAAACGCGAGCTGGCCAACGGCCTCGACAAGGATCCAATTTACAAATTGCGCCTGCAATGCTTCAGTCGTGGTGCCACTGGCATCTTGGGCCTGTCCAGGTGAGTGCTCTATCCTCCACACCACCACCCCATCAATGGTTGCACTTTCAAAGAGGAATCATTCGGTTAGGTCCGAACCGAACAGACCCGGAGTTTCGTTCCCCTATTTGGCTGATTTTCTACGGTTCTTGGGTATGTTGGGTATGCGGCTGCAAAGTCTTCTGTGATGCAATGTTTTTTATTGGTTTGTCTGTATTCTCTTTTCACGATCAGAAGCTCAGTTCCCTTCCGCTGCAGATCCCTTTGCGTGCAAAAAAAATGTCACAACCATCATTTTCCGTAGTTTATAAATTAAGAACACTTTTTAGCTATTAATTGGCTTAGAAAACTCTTTAAAATGAATTGAATTTTCCTCTATGAACTCACCGAACTATGGCCGGCCATCAATTAAGTTGGTTCCACCTGCATCAGCATCATCTTTCTCATCTCGTTTGGTCTAGGATATGTGAGTAGGCTTTAGCCAATTTATTTTTATCCCTCCACACATGTGTCGGCTATTCTGCTATATTCTTTTTCATTTGCCGTGGCTGGAGATGGCTCTTGTAAAGCGCAACATGACAGGGAGCTGAGGCATAGTGCCAGCGTCAGTGCCAGTGCTGGACCCTGTTCGGGGCCGAGTATATTAAAATGATGAAATTGTTGAGTGCCGGACAAGTGGAGAGGCAAGGTGAAGATGGTGCTGTGTAGGCCGGGCGGAAGTCCGTAATGCGCTATGCCCGGCATGAAAATCTGGCAAATGAAACTGAAACTTTGCCGGTTGCTAGTGGTGTTGCTGTTGCTGTTGCTGCTGCTGCTGCTGAAGCTGCAGCTGCTGATGATGATGATGTTACTCGCAAGTTCGGGCGCAACTAGGCGCATGTAAATACGAGTACGTTGGGTTCGAGTGCATGTTGAACTAACATTCTCGAAAGCTCTTTCAAGTGTGTGCAGGCTGGGGTATAAAAACTGTGTGGGGAAACTGCTGCTGACAGAAACAGAGGCGGAGACGGAGCCAGAGCCAGAACCAGAACCAAAGGCAGAGTTGGAGTCGGAGGCTGGTAGTGGTTGTGGCTGTGGCAGTAGCAGTAGCAGAGAATGGTGGCAAAAATCGCTGACTGAATGCAAACAAACATAATTGGATTTCTCTAGTTGCTGCAGAGTATAACCAGCACGGACCCCTTTTTCAGCCCCTCGAACCATCAATCCGAGTCATACACCCACACACACACACACACACACACAGAGGCAAGCCCACTGTTAGTTTTTATTTCAATTTGAGCTCAGCTCACAGGACGGACGTACCGCGGCAAACCTGTCCGCCCGGCGGGTTGTCTGCTAACAATTTTCCGTTGTGAATATATAGACATTTTGTTCAAAATCCTCGCATATGCAACATATTGTATGTACCATACGGACATACACGTACACATACACGTACAATTGTGTGTGTTTTGTTGCCTGTTTGCTTGTTGGTGTGTTGGTTGGACAACCAGCCGCCCAGCCTTCCAGCCGCCCACCCGCCCGCCTACGCCTTTCCGCCTCGTGAGCGCGCATTTTCATTTGTATTTATGCAATTTGTTTGTTTGCCAGCCGGAAAATTCAATACATTGAATGCATAGCTGAATGGACGCTCCTCCCATTCCCATTCCCATTCCCATTCTCGTATCAATGGCATATTCTTATCTCAACATATACTCGTACTCCTCTGCAGCAGCCTTTGTCAGTGGCCATAATAGAAATGTATTTTCATTTTTGAGAATTACGGATACATATTTTCCTCGCTTCCATCCGCAGAGTCTTTCGGGTGATGGATGATGACGGCAGCAAGACCCTCAGCCTCGAGGAGTTTAAAAAGGGAATCTCAGATGTTGGTCTCGATGTGAGCGACTCGGAAATCTCCGATATGTTCTCGCGGTATGTCTACAAAAAATATAAAAGAAATTTTCCTTTACTAAACATACTAAACATAATTGTGTATGCAACAGTTTCGATGCAGATGGCAGTGGCACCATCAACATGACAGAATTTCTGAACAAGCTTCGTGTAAGTATTGTGGAAATACTGCAAATAAATATTGTATTACCTCGTATTACCTACATTCACTAGCCACCTATGAACGAGGGCCGTGTGAGCATCATTGAGAAGGCCTTCGACAAGATGGACGTCAACGATGATGGACACATAACCGAGACAGATCTGATGAATCTCTACTCGGTGAAGGATCATCCGAAGTATTTGAGCGGCGAGATGAGCAAGTTGGAGATTCTGCGCGAGTTCCTGAAGAATTTCGAGGCCGGTGCCCCGAACCCAGATGGCGTTGTCACCAAGGAGGAGTTCATCAACTATTACTCCACTATTAGCGCCTCGATCGACAACGACGCCTACTTCGATCTGGTGATGCGCCGCGCCTACAATCTTTGAATTTTCCGTTTTCAATGCCATCCATTTGCCGTCTTTGATGCTTGAGGAGTTTGGACTGAGCTCCCGCACACGAAAATTTCCACTAAATCCAGTCCCATATTGAAATATAATGTACTCCTAATGTTACTCCAGTTACTCCGCACACGAATGATCAGTCCTCAACCAAGTTCCGTTCAATGTGCTTTAGTCGAGCGAGCTGGTCGGGGGATTTGGCCACACAGTTGGGCTGGCAAATCAGCCGGGCCGTAAACATTTGCATGTCAGTTGAGCCAACCGCCTCCGCCCCCCGACATTGTTCCTCGCGTAGTTTTGGCCAAATAATGCGCTATAATAATTTATTAAATTAAAGCCGCGTGCTAATTAGCATAAAACTAATTAGATTACTTGTACATGTGAAAGCCACAAAGCACGGCGTAACACTCACTGAGCAGGCGACTGGTGAATGGTGCTGGTTGTTGTTGTTGTTGTTGGGGTTTTGAATTTGAGTTTGGGTTTGGGTTCGGGTTTGGGTTTGAGTTCGGTTTTCTATGTAGAGGGGATGCTGGCATACGCGGCGTATGCGCAATCGTTTGCTGTGTTTTTGTCGCTTTTAATAAAAGTCATGTTTGGCAAAAAGTCAGGCCATCTAACCAGCGCACACAAACACACACACACATATATATACATTGACGGGGAGGGGTGGAAACAAATAAGCCTGATTAGCTTGTGTTTTACTAGGCTGTGTGGGTTGACAAGTGATTGGGCCGACACCGCTAAACAAAATCATGAACGCCTCTGATTTTATCCAGATACATTGCTGCCGGATTCCAATTTCTGGCATTTGGAGGCTCTCCTATTGGTGAGCATCTTGGGAGGCGAATGGAGCTCGGCAAACGCTTAATTAGGAGCTTATTAGAGGAGGCTGGTGGACTGGCGGGGTCGGGCTCGGGCTCGGCAATTGGCAAACTCTAATTACATTCATTTCGCATCAGCGATAAGAATCCAGCATCTGATGATGGGCAAACAAGCCGGGAAAATATACACATATAATACCCACTAATATCGGTAACAGCTAGGCAAACGTCTTCGGCCTGGCCTCATTATGCAGCCAAGTTTTTGTATGCCATGTAGACAATGTTAAAAGTTTGCTCAAGTAATTAAATCACTTCGATCTTTGCTAATTACAAGCCCGTAACATGAACTCGTACATGAAAGCCACATGCGCGTCTTTCCTCTCGCTCTCAGCCTGCCTCTGACTGTCTCTTACTCTCCTTCTGGCTTTGTGTGTGTGTGTGTGTGTGTGGCTGTGCAGCTTGTTAGACAAAGCCTGGCTGGCATCAACGACAACCTCATCAGGCCAAGGGGCCAACCAGCGGTAGCGGCAACAACAATGTTGACAAGTTACCTGCCAAATTAATGCAAACATGAAACGTGCGGCAACGGGAATATTAATTAACTAACTACCTGGGACACTCACACACACACACACACACTCGTATAGCCAATGTACACTGAAAGAACTTGCACCCGAAGAGGCAATAAAGAAGACTACTTGCTACTTTGAATGTCAGGCGAGTAATTGCGCTCAGTGCAGTCACTGGCACTCCTACCCCTGCCCGTGTGTCCCGAGTGTTGGCAGTTGGCACTTGGCATTGTCAGATCTGAAGGCATGTACGATATATATACATATACATGTATACATACATTCCCGGCCACATACATTGCTCTTTCGCAAACTAGCTGATCCCTGGCCCGATAAACCCCATTGCGGACCACACAAAAATATTTTGGGGACTTCGTTCTGTGGATGCGGATGCGGCTGCGGCTGCGGCATCTCCTGTCCTCTCCAGTCGCTGCCAAGTGGCGTATGATTAATGAACGTTTCATTAGAGAGGCTCACATTACGTATAGCTTGACTGGGCGCCCCATCCCCTTCCCCATCCCGAACCCGACCACGACCCGACACCGGGCTCATCCCTATTTACATTTCAGCAGGTTGCCGAACGTGATCACAATATTATCTCTTCATCAGCGAGGTGCTGTCCTGCGCCCTGCCGTGGCAGGACATTGCAAACATTATGCCGAACAGGGCGCAAAAACTGGAAAAATGCAAAGAGCAAGGTATTCGTTTCCCTAGCTGCCTGTCTGCCCTGTCTGCCAAGTGTTTCCTCAGGTACGTAGCTCTCAGTCTCTGTTCTTTGCTGCTGCTGCTGATGCTGCCTCTGGCTCTGGGGGCTGCGCGTCGTGGCCATGGCAGCTGCGCAACTTAACGAGTTACAATGATTTTCGTGCTAATTAAAATGGTTTTTGCATTTAGTTTACCGCATTAGCATTTCGTTTAGCAGTTGAGCAAACACCTGCCTCCGTGCCTGCCCGTGCCCCTGCCCCTGCCACTGCCACCACCTCCCATATGCCATGTTTGTGTTCGGCTGCCAAGCATAGCTCACTGGTCGTATCCGTATCCGTATTCGTATTCGTATCCGTGTCCCAGTGTGTGGGGCATAAATTACGCATACGCAGCGTTGCCAGCGCCACTGAAACGTAAACGTTGGCCAAAAAGTCTGTTTGTCGAGCCACACAGATGCGCCTAATGAACTCTGGCTGCGGGCTGCCACTCCACCACCGCTTGACTATCTATATCCTTTCCAGCATAGCATAGTTTTGGTCTCTTTTGTCAACTGCAACGTTAGCTACACCACCCCCACCATCACCACCCATGGCAATCTATCCGGGCTGCGGCCTAATTAGATGTTTGAGATGTTTTGGCATCTGGGCCTGACTGGGATTGAACTCGTTAGTGGTTTTCAATTACATGTGACTCGACACTCCCTGTACGCTCCCTGGTAAGTTCATCTCTTTGCCAGTTCTTTTTTCTTCGCCCTATCCCTTTGGAGTGACAACTTCAGTGGAGATTAGTTTCAGTCTTGCAGCGAACCATAAGCCAGATATATGTATCTATATAATATCAAGAGGCAACTTCACTAAACTGCTGCACTTACGGCCAAATCTATTCGAAGTTATACTTTACAAAATGGCTTCCACCGGCGCCTCGGGCCGGGAGCTTCACACGCTGAAACACGTGTGGGGAAGTTTGTTGCCTAATTCCCGGGGAAGGCGGGTAGGAGGGTGGGATAAAGTTATTTTTGTCCCACAATAAGCAAATATCAAAAATGCACCTAAGTATTTTCATAGTTTTTATTACCGGTTATTTTATTGTTACCGGGAGAGAGGGAGAGCCAGGAGCAAGGAGTCAGCAGCCAGGCAACTTGCATGCTGGACACGTGTAAAAGTTCAGTTTTAAACACTTGCAAACAACAAAATGTTTTCGATTTTTGAAACGTTTTCGCTTTTGTTTTATGAATCACAGCCCCAGCCAAAAGAACGAACTGTTCCTTATACGTTTTAGGTATCGTACGTACGAGTGCCTGTGTGTGGCTCTGTGTGTGTGTGTGATACTCTGAGTAGCACACAGAAATCCCCAGAGCGAGGGAAACTTTTAGTTTCGTATCGCCCACGTTTACTGTGAATAAAACTTTGCTCGAGCTGGAAAAAATGAAAACAGCACGAAAATCACCACTAAAAACATTCGGAGAGTGTGCAGGAGAAGACCCAAAGATGAGAGGGAACAAACAGGGAAACAGCATAGATTATGTTAGTCGGACCAAGAGACGGAGAGAGCATGATGTCTTATGAAACATGCAAATGCAATGAAATTACACGTTACGTATACGCCCTGTGTCTGTTTCTGTGGCAGCACGAAAAATTTAAAACAAGAAGGCGGAGCGAGCGGGAGTTGCAGCAGCATCTCCAGTCGTATACAAAAGGATTATGCAAAATTATGCTGGGTAGAAAAAAGAGGGGCAACAGCAAAGCGAAAGGCAAATCCACGCACATTAAATTAAAGTGCTTTCAATAAAGTCAAATCGTGACTTTGCCGCTAATGATGAGGACAAAGCGAACAATGTCCCTTCCCTGGCTGCAAGTCTCTCAGTGTTTGACAAATTGACTTGCAAATCACTCTTGCTCCTTCTTTCCGATTATTATTATTTCTTTTATTTGGTGCGGTGCGGTGCCGACTTTTCGGGCCCTGCTGCAAGTATTTCATAATTTTCGATGGGCGTGTCAGTGGAACGAACGGCTGCTCAACGGATGCCGCACTAAAAGCGCACTCAGCTCAAAGACAACCAACGGAAATAGTTTGAAAAGCTAGGGCAGCAGGCAGCAGCCGAAGATGAGACTGCAACAAATCCAGGGAGTACGTGCCACGGGCCAAACAAAACACGCGACCCAGACGAATCATAAGCAGCCAACGCCAACTGCCACTGCCACTGAAACTGCCGGCAGCCATGGCCCCAAACCCCGGCCCCTTGGCTTGGGCCCCTGAAGCTCTGCTCTGGTGGCCGACAATGACCCGAGACCGCGATGGGGGCCAAAATGAAAGGCCGCAGCCAGACGACCGCCATTTATAGTGAATGGATTTGGATTTTTCGGATTTGCGCACAAGATAATGTGCAGCAATGGCGCTCCACTTGGTTCTCCTCAGTTTGGGCTTTGGCCCGTTGAACGTTGCATGTGAGAGGACTAAGCAGCAGCAGCAGAGGCAGTGGCAGCAGCCGCAGCAGCAGCTCGAATGCAACGGAAATAGTTTTGTGTGAGATTTATTGCCACTCTGGAGAGTCATAAAACGGAAATTGTACACAAAATCCTTTCGGATGCTCGTTTAAGTTGCCAGTGGAAGCACCTCCCTCCCCACTCCCTCCCCCCTTCAGCTCTTGCTTCGGTCGGTCCACTTCTGTGTGTGAGCATTTTTATGTGTTGTGTCATTTTTGTATGCTCTGCCCTGCCCCTACCCCTGGACTATCACAATGTTTATGTAAGTCATCGCTTCGTTTATTCGATGCCCCCGAACCCCTGGCCGACTTCGGGGCATATCCTATTTGGAAATTATACTTTTGCACATTTTGTGGAAATGCTTCTAGTTGGTCGCCTGATTTTCTGCTGCCCAGAAAGCCTTTGCTTTGCTTTGCTTTGCCATTTCAGTTTATTTATTTTATTTACCACCCTTTGAGTGGGTCAAATGCACTGCATTGTCCACTCAGCACCACTCTCTCTCTCGCTCACGCTCCAGCGTGTGGCTCTCTTTCTGCCTGCT